TAAGTCTTGAATATTTTGAACAAATGTTGGTGTCTTCTACCTTTTATCTTCTTTTATTGTTGGTACGATATTGAATTTGGAGATTATGTAGCGATGATAAGTTGTTCTTTTCTTATTGATGAAGGGGTAATGGCCGTAAATTCTTATTGCCTTATTGTTGTGCGATATTGAAAAATTGAGAACTTTCCGATGAAGCTTTTGTTCTTGGTGTATAAGCTGGAAAAGAGTGATTAATTTTCTTAATTTGATAGTTTGATTAATAGTATTCTGTTGGTTGGCGATATCGAGTGGCGTTACTCCATATTTTATTTCAGTGGTGAGGAAAAGAAAATATGTGTTGTATGTGGCAGTGAATTGTGATTCCTCATCTAAACTGGCCATGAAGGGTTGGAGTTTTTGCAGACGTGCAGGGGTAAATGCTTTTCGATCTATGCCAATGCTGTAGTCAGGATGTGGACGACGGTTACAACATCGTGTAGCGTTAATCCAGCTCGCATTGATGGTCTCATTGAGGATCCCCAGATGTTCAGCTCCACGGAGTGCCCGAATTTTAGGCGAGGGAACTAATTCCGGTCGTATATAGCAAACTACCGTCGCCTCGTTTTGGCCTTTCACCATCTTGCATACCTTAGGGAAGAGCTTGTCAGAGAATAGCGTATCTTCTGGTAGCTTTTGTGGGGTGTTTAGGAGCTTCTGGCAAAGCGTCGTGCTTTCAGGTGTAATACCCTCTTCATGGTCGTCCATGAAGCTCCCAAAATCCTCAAGGTCTATCACGACCTGTTCATCTCTGTAAAATTGATCGACAGAAGAGATAGTGTCCGCGTTGAGGCTGCTAGACGAACGCTCATGCCCGAGTGAGAACGATCTTCGCTTGGTGGCCAGCGCACCAGGGACGTAGTTATCTTGAAAGCTCTTCATCGGTCCTTCAGCTTCTGGCAGCCAGACTCCTTGTTCAACCCAATAACGGGCCTGATAGCTCTGGGACTCGATCGATGCACTGGCTTGGTCCTGTGCAAAATTCTCCCTTCTCTCGGCGAGAGAGACTCGTCTGCGCTTTCGAGATGGCTTTGGCGACATATGGGAGGCTACAGCTTCGTGGTGTTGTTTTCGCTTCAGTTGAGGAGTAATGGGAGTTGTTTGGGAATTCTTCGTATTCTGTAGGCGTGAATCACGCGTGTAGGAGGATGCCGCCTTTCTGAGGGGTCTTTCTGGCCGAATCGCTCCTGTCTGTATCTTCGAACAAATTTCCACGAACGCCTCGGCCTGCTCGTCCTTCCACTCAAACGGCTTCAGCACTGTCTGCTTCTGTATAGATCGTCGTCTGGTGGAGGTAACCTGGTCAATTTGTGCAGTATAAGCCTTTCGCAAGACCTTCTTAAGATCTGCCTGTCTGGGGATGTATATTTTTAGGTATGGGGTTAAGTATAAGAATTCCTCGAGCTTATGCACACTCTGGGGATGGTTTTCTGGTTCCGTCCATTTCTTGAACCGATTTTGGTGTTTGGCTGACGGCCGAAGCTGCCCCTGGGATAGTTTAAATCCTAAAGCTAGGGCACTGTTGGTAAATAGCGTTGTTTTGTGTGGGTTCAGGCCGACCGGAATAAATGCTAATCGAGGAAAATAATAATGATGTAGAAAGTTAAACATACTTGGGAGAGCTGGCCCGTCTCGCCCCTCAACCGGGGGCTAGGTTCGTGAGAGAGCCTGCGGAAACCCCGTCAATTTGCCGAAATCGAGACACTTAATATACTTACGTTCTGCTGCTGTTCAACGTCTGCGCAATAACTCTCTTGGTGCTTCGCGATACGACTGCATTGTATGACTTTGCTGATACGTACGCTTGTGTTGGAATAAGCTGGGGATGCTTGAGATACGCAGGCGGTTGCCATGTTCACTGGAGAGAAGGGAAAGGTGGGCTACTCATTGTTACTGCGAAAATGTTCAGAGCAATGGTGACCAATGCGAAAGGCAGGTGCCGCATGTTTATGGTTGAGAGTTCCTTAGGTAAAGCCAAAAATTCAAGGCCAAACCGGAACAGCAGGATTTTAATCATTAATCAGCAGAGACGCCCGCGCTGCTGTTAACAATTTTACAGTATGAAATATCCAGCCTCTCAAATCTGGAGGGTATAACGGTTGGAAATGGGAGGTATTTATCTACAATTCAACCAACAGTGATCTTACATTATACATAGCTAGCTACCTAGGTAGGTAAACAACAAATCTGCAGATCTATCTAACGTGCCTTTTCTATACATGCTGCTTTCTACCTTAATTAGGAGGTAGGTAAGCTGATGACGGTACTATGACAACTTGTAATAAAGAGAAAGGTTCGGTAGCGGAGATAAGGAGCTCTATTATATCTATTATATCTTCCTTTAAATTAGGTGATATCCTACTACTTATGTTCCATCTAACGTATTGAACTAACCTATCCATCTAACCTTTCCGAGTCTACCCTAACTTCTCGAGTGACGATAATATCCTCTCGTCTTGGTTGCTGGTCGTAGATGCTGCGACCTCTCTGCGCTACACCTCGGACATCATGCAAATATCGCTTTTCTAGTTCCATGTAAGGATATCTGCCTGACTTCCCGTTGCTGTGGGAGACCAGTGCAGAGAAGCCGTGACTGGGTTGTTTGGCGTGCGAAGCGTCGCTGTGGCGGTGCTCGCCATTCGCGATGGTGGGACTTGGCACAGATCGTTTGCTCATAAACAGTGCCCCGAGCTCCGGAAAGGATACACAGAGCACGCCTGTCGTGAGCTCAGCCAATCTGTTTTCGATTAGATCAACCTATGCCCTTCGCGACCCTTTGGGCGTCGACTTACCCCCATATCATGATGTCTGCTTGAAACCAGCTCTTGTCCGGATTATGGCTGCCTCGTAGACGAGCGAGAAGGCCTACCAAGCTGAATATCGGGGCACTGAAAGATACCTCAGTCAGTATAAGGACTGCGGTTGGTCAGGGGGTAAATCCTTACCATGAGCCAAATGTAAAGACCAAGACGACGGTGACCTTTTTCTTAAGCTGCATCTTCATCTTCCAGACTGCTTTTACCGGCAGGAGGAGGACTATAAGATCGGTTATAGTGTTGAATATGCCGCTGACGTCAAGTACCCATGAGATGTCGACGCAAGTCCCCGGAATCCCCTCGTCGACTATCTTGGCTCTTGGAACGCACTCTAGTATCTTCACGATGGTCGTCGCCGTGTAGAAGAGGACGTGTAGCACAAGAAGAAAGACGATGGAGATATCGAAGGGGCTCCTCCGCATAGGAGAGAAGATCCGTCGGTAGAGACAGAGAACCGAAAGCTTCGCAATGCATATAGTGATGCCGTAATGGATGGTGACGATATTGAACCACTTGCAAGATTAGTCAATGTGCATGGTCCTCTCCTCGATCTACTGCCAGAGGATTGCAGCTCACGTAATATGCCTCATGAGCTTGGTCAGTCGTAAGATCCCATTTATGTATTCCACCATTGTGTGCCACAAGGACAGCGGTGATCCCAGAGACCGCAACCGTACCGGCCTATACCGTTTTCTTAGAGACATCGTCGTGCAGGGAGACACCTTTCTCGACTTACCCAAGCGATGAGAGCAAGCCCTGTCACCTCCATGTTAGTCTACCACAATGAAGAAGACTCGGGCTGAACTCACAGTCTTCAACAATCCACGTTCGCTTGACCCAGATTCTGACATATGCCCGAAGAAAGAAGAAGATAGTTGCGAGAGGGATCGAAATCCCCATGGCTATGTTCTTCGACACGACGAGGGTTCGCGGGTTCGCGAAATTCGAGGTTTCTCCGGGAGGAGGAGGTAATGCTGGGGTTGGGACTGGCGTCGTCATTCTGGAATCTGCCGTCCACCTAACACGACACACGAGATGCATCAGATAGACAGAAACGCAGAATATATTAATACGGCGGCGTAAGAGATGTATGCGCTCCCTTATCATCTTCTTAGCTCCAGGCTGTAGCAATTTCCAACAACACATCACGAGTAAACGGCACGTCATAACTACGAGAGCTAATATGCCAGAATTAACTACAGATCATGTCTCAAACACAGACAGCATTTGTAGATTTGGATATATTGTCTGTATTCCGACCTTTTATTAAGCTCACCAACTGGCAACCATAGCCTATGGATCGAAGACGTTAACGGTCCAGCCCCGTTCCCAATCCGATATAAGAAGGGCCCGGCCGTAACAAGAGAAAACGAGGCTCAGGTTACATGACACGAAAAGCGCAAACATCAAATCTTAAACAGACTTACCCTGCAGTGTAGTAGAATATTGTGTGATCCGATCGTGATAAGAGGCAAGGGGCAAGCTATCACGGCAAGATTCTTTAGAAAGCAGACCATTTCTAAATCACGGGCTGGCGGATTTACCTCCGCCGTTATTGCCGCAGAGACACAGTTCGCTACCAACTGGAATCGTCCTTGATTCGGCTTGTTCCCATGTTTATCTTCAGCTCTGTCATACTATGTAGCAATTGTGAAGCTCAAATGGTAAGGTTCAAGGCCATAAACCCGGACGGAGAAGTCCTCAACACGAGGGTGAGCTACTTAGTCGATATATCCTTGAACGCCCTACTTATACTCTTTGTGCTTTTGTCGACCAATGAGTGCTCTGCATTTTCTAGAGTAATAGATTGACTGTTTATTATACTAACATACGTATTCTAACCACGGTATTCCAGACCACGGACTTTGCAAGAGACGTACTTACTCTCTACGTCAAGTGATGAACGTCTTGCTTCATCAAGGTTCAAGGTTGCGCTCACTACCTCGTAGGCAGCTATCGTGCCTACCTGCCTACCTAATCTACCTACCTATACTACCTGCGCAATCTGGCATAGGATCAGGAAGGAAGCATTCAGAAGTGTTCCAGTGGACGTCCAAATACCAAACATGCAGAGGCGCATATAAGCTGTTGCCTCAAATACACTCATTACCAATCATCCAGCAAATACCTGACTATAAGGTACCTTCAGGCTTCGTGGTGCAGAGGTTAGCACGTCTGTCTCACAACTATCTGATGATAGTTCTACCACAGAAGGTCTCCAGTTCGATCCTGGACGAAGTCAACATCTCTTTTTTTACCTATCTCCTTTTTGATACACGTGCAGGTTAACATGCGCGTGAGCTTGACCGATGAGGCAGTGGGCAAAATAAAGTTCCGTGTCTTTCAGAGGTTTGCAAGGTATACTATTTGCATACAAATGAAGCCTACACGACAAAGAAATCTTCAGTACCGAAGATTATGGGATCTGAAAATGGCATCACCTATGCCACATGCAACTTTTGAATGGAGTCCATGAGGCATAAGCTACCTATTCGAGCTATCCTCCATAACGCATAGTGTGGTATATAGGTATATATGGGGCACGATGATCCATCTATCTGCTCTTCACCAAGAATCCCTCATTTGACATGAATCTCTTCTCAGGCTCCAATTCTTATGATTTTTCTCGCTCCAATTTTATCCCTATAATACACCACTACCGAACGTGACGTGGACCTCCCCCCTTCGCGCCCTCACAATGGCAGCTACCAACGACACCACCCACCCGGAGCGGAACAAAGGCTGGTACCAGGAAGACCTAACAGAAGTCAACGAGCCATTGCGCAAGCTGCTCGAGAACTACTCCAAAGTGCCGAGCTCCGAAGTCGTCAAGCACGTGAACAACATAGTAAGGACCTACCTACGTACCTACATAGTACTTCTGTGGAACCAAACACCACACACTATACATCATCGAACAGAAATCTAACCCATACCCAGCGAGCACGAGGATTCGCAGCAAACCCCTACCCCTGCATAGGGCTCTACCGCTTCACCACCCTAACCCTGCAAACACACCCACTCTACCCCAACATCATCCAGCGGCTGCAGGAGCCCGGCGCCGCCTACCTAGACATAGGCTGCTGTTTCGGGCAAGACCTGCGGCAGCTAGTGCAAGACGGTGTACCCTCATCGCACCTAACCGGTCTAGACATATCCAGCGCGTTGCTAGAGCTCGGGTATGACTTCTTCCAAGACCGGGCGACGCTGGAGTCGCGGTTCGTGGTGGCGGACGTGTTCGCGGGCGCGGCGCAGGGGGCGGTGTGGACGGACCTGGAGCAGCGCGGCGGCGGCGTCGACGTCGTGCACTGCAGCGCCTTCTTCCACCTGTTCCCGCTGCCGCAGCAGATCGCCGCCGCGACGCAGATCGTGCGGCTCGTCCGCAAGGGCGGGGTCCTCGTCGGTCGGCAGATGGGCAGCCTGACGCCTGGCGACGTCGCTGCGATCCGCGCGGAGAGCTATAGCTACCGCCATGATGTCGCGACGTTGGATGCCATGTGGAGGGAGGTGGGCGAGGCGACGGGGACGCGGTGGAAGGTCGAGGGGACCCTGGATATGTTTGGGATTATCGCTAATAGCCCCGTGGAAGACCAGAATAGTCGCCGTTTGCTCTTTACTATTACCAGGATAGAGTAGACGGCCCTGTCAGCCTGTGGAAAACTTGTTACGCTTTGAATACTACTGGTACTGTTAAGAATTCTGGAATGGCAGTGTATCTGGACAGAATAGTTGGTGCGGAAGCTCGTCCGCTATTTGGAGAGGTCTGGCACTCTGGCTAGGTACCTAAATATTCTATCTATAAACAATACACAGGTAGCGTGACTGACAATAGCACTTGGTATTGGATGAGGCTTAACAAATCGCCGTTGAATATAGATATCATTTTCATACATACTACGGAGGTGCCCATCAAAAGTATTTTCCAGAGGGTACATAGCTGTCAGGTGGCTGCATGGCCTCTGTCATCTGGTACATCTGTTCCCTTGATTGGCAACACTGGTAAGGCTAGCCAGCTAATCGAATAGGTATTACCACAACCAAACAGCGTATATAATTAAATATGAAGTATTAGTTACAGTTCTAAAGATGTTCATTAGTAAATTTAATTTCTTTTTATTTATTTAGCGCAGTTTTCCTGAATTAATAACGTATAGATATGTTCAATTATCGTGATTGATTTTCTCCAAAGTAGTGGCTGAAAGTCAGTGGCAGCTGGCACTGGTGGCTGACAAGCGTCACAATCAGTTGGCCTATGGAAAATACTTTTGATGGGCACCTCCGTACGTACCTATTCAAAGCTACCAAATGAAAGAAATATGCGGTGAAGGGCTTCATATTTTTGCGTTCCCGACTGAGTATTCTATTAATACATTAACCAGACATAGAGTTGCAGGATTTCTTACTTTATACATACCTCCTATCTAGCCCTATGGCACCAATACTACTATGTTAGACACTAAATGCACATGTATGCTAGCCATGTCGAACCGAGACGTATGATGAGACGAGACGAGTGGCGTCTTCAAGAATGCACTCATTCAGTACAGCACATCAAGCAACACACGCAATACTCAAAGCCAAACATAGGTAGACTCAAAACTTTGGATCCATGAACCGCAATCCCTAGCCCTAACCCATAATATAATTTACACAACTGCCTAGGTTACGTACGAGGCACTTTACTCGGTGACAGCGACAGGACCACAGGCCCTCGCTCGCGACCGAACCAAAAGAAACAGAAAACTCAACCAAAAAAAAACGGGTATCTCGAAGGAAAAGAAAAGCCTAGATCTATATCAATCCAATGCCGGCCAGATTCTTCATTGCCATCGTCCACTGGTCCGCCTTTCCTTTTAGTCGGAATCAGGTGCGGCATAGTCCTTGTCTTCGTCTTCGCGTCAAGGTGAACTATTGATTGAGTGTGCAAGAAATCCCCACGTGTCAAGGGAAAGCTGTCATCTCGTCTCGTATTTTGAGGAGGTAAAGAACACTTGTCCCTGTACCGTTCCCCCCTCTCTCCTTTCGGCGGGGCCTGGCTCCCCTTTACCAAAAGGTCAGGACTCGAAGGCTACTCTCAGTCCCCAGATGAGCTCTCGTATCCCTGCCAATGCCGACGCCGTCAAGTAGCTTCCAGAGCTGCGTGACATGTTCTATCCGGCTTTTTCCCATCCCAATCCCCGCTCGTGTTACCTGAGGTGAGATAGTCGAAGTATCGTTCCCGGCCCGTACTTATCTCGTATGAACGACCTGCTGAAGCCCAGTTTCTCGACCGAGTCATGAAAAGCCTGGCAACTCGTTCCACGAGCCTATGACTTTGTGGTGAAGAGACTGGCCCATGCTTAACCTTAGTGCCTTGTGTTTCGAAGTATGTATCGAGAATAAGTGACGTGAAATGTGGTCCTTTGTCAGAATACACTTGTCAAGGCATCCCGAATATGCCTTCCAGATCCTGGAATGACTGGATAAAGTTGGCCCAGGCTGTCTCCTTTGCTCTGTACCCGAATGCCAGTCTTGAGAGATAATCCACGACAATGAGGATATAGCGTGTCCCAACTCGATCTGGAGGGTTGATGGGTCCGACATAATCTACCGCCAGGAGATCCCATGGCTGCATAACTACTGCACTTCGCAGGACGGCTGTGGCGGGAATCTTCGGCCCTACTTCCACACATCAATAACACTTCCGGTAAGAATCTCTCCGGGGGACGAAAGCCAATCAGTCGATAGAATACTAGAAGACCGACAAACTGCCAGAGTCAAGGTTTCCCAGTCCGGCTCGTGTAGAGATACCAATCCCTTCTCGTAGATAGGACGCATGACGCTTATGCTGGAGGGGAGGGTACGCCAGGCGAGAAAGCAGAACAGACGCGAGCTCGAGATTCGTTAACAAAGAAACCCATCCGAGTTTCATAGTCGCTTCGCAGTCGTTGGCAGGGTACGTGTAAACAATCCAGCTTAGATCGTGTCAGCTGGTGACGCCGCGCATTACGCGAGCAGGATTGCCGGCTACGATAGTAAACGACGGCACGTCCTAAATTCTCGTTAGCGACGATGATCGAGAACATGATCACTACCCTGATAGAGGTAGATTGCTGACCTTAGTGACAACTGCGCCGGCGGCGACCGTCGCACCCTTCCGTATTCTGATATTGGGCAGAATGATGGCGCCGCCGCCGATCCATACATCGTCATCGATGTAAATAGGGGCGCCGACGTGAGGGCTCTTGCTGCCCTTGCGCTTCTTGGGGTCGGTATGCAGCGTGCCGCCGAATAAGCTGACGTTGGGACCAATATAACAGTTGTTACCGATGATAATCTCCATAGGATCGAGGACGGTGCAGTTCCGGCCAATGAAGACGTTGTTGCCAATGGCGATGTTATAACCGTAGTCGCAAGTAAACGGTGCTTCGACGACAACCTCCGACCCTACGCTCCCGACATTGGTAATACTTGATACCAGTTGCGGGAAGATGGGAGCCGTTGGGTTAAGGATCTCTCGGAACAATCGCGAGCGCTCGGATGCCGAGACGCCAACGTTGGGATTCGTGGAGTTGTTGAACCTAAAGCATGCAGCACTGCATCTTTGCCTTTCCAGCACCAGTTCTTCGTCGAAGGGATAGTACTGACGTCCCCTCAGCATCTCTTCCTTCTGGGTCCTCTCCCTGCTTGCGGGGAAGTTAGGATGAGAGAGGGCAAGCCGAGCCGCTTGCTGAGGGTCGGTTGTCGTCGTCGTCGGCGCTGGTGGAGGCGGTGGCGGTGGAGGCGGCGGCGGCGGAGGTGCGGGTTGAGACTGAAGTGGCGGACTACTGCTTCGAGTTGGCGGAAGGATGTTGATTTGAGGGAGAGTGCTAGAATGCGTAGCCTCGTGATCTGTCCGGGTGAGATCGTGTAGCGGTGGCACCCTCTGGTAATCTTTATGCCTGTCAACACTGCTTAACGGTGTGGGCAACTGCATATTACTACTTGTGGCGCTTATCGGGGTGGGAAACACGCTTGTCGGGTTGTTGTACGATATTGAGGACAGCTTGTTTTCCGGGCTCGTTGTAGACGTAGACGGGGTTGGCGTAGAAAGGATCGACGCTGTCTGCCTGCCGTCCTCCGCCAGAATAGGTCGGCCCTGCACCGGTTCTATCCGGAGCGGCTGACCACGATACGGCTGAGTTGGCTGATCACGCTTCGGGGGCGGCGGTGGCGGTGGCGGAATCGTATAACCACTCTGCTGAGGCATCCCGTAGGCGCCCG